CAAGATGAAGCAGCTTTGGATTTGGGACTCTTTGGTCTCAGAAGAATAGCCATCTTTGGTCTTGGATGGGGTTGCCCTGCCCCAGACAGACCAATGTGCAATCTGGAGGTTCTCCTGGACTCCTGCTCGAGGAGCAGGTGATAGTTGTTGCCAGGAGGGCCTTTGCGCAACTGCGAGTTGTGCGCCAGTTACACCTATTCCTGGACCAACATGCCCTTCTCACAGTCACCCATGCCCTAGTCACCTCCCGTCTGGACTATTATAACACGCTGTACATGGGGCTGCCCTTGAGGGATATCTGGAAGCTTCAGTTGCTTCAAAATGTGGTGGCCCACATGGTTTTGCGCAAGCCTAGATTTGCACATGTGTCACCTCTTTTGTGGGAGCTGAATTGGTTGCCAATTTGCTGGTTATCACCTTTAAAGCTCTACATGGCTTGGGGTCAGGTTATTTGAAGGACCGCCTTTCCCCAGTTACATCTACCTGGCCTACTAGAGTGGGAAGGCAGGGTATGTTGCGGGTCCCTTCAATGAGGAAGGTAATCTAGTGGGACTGAGAAAAAGGGCCTTCTCTGTGGTGGTTCCCTCTCTATGGAATATCATTCCCCCGGAGATAAGACTGGCCCCCGCCTTGATACTTTTCCAGAAGGCCCTGAACATGTGGTTTTGTCAGTGGGCCTGGGGACCCAGGCTGATCCAGAGCTGATCAAATAGTTAGTCTCTGTGTGTTTATTGCCACCAGGGGCGTGGGGGTGGGTTTATTAGTTTTTGTATTATGAGTTTTAATTCTGTAAGCCACCTGGAGTCACTGTGTGTGAGTTGGGTGGCCATATACATTTGTTTAATACGTAAGTAAATAAAGAAATAGGTCTGAAAAAAATTGAAGCCCCTGGTTTAAACATAAATAGAACTAATTGAGGATTATGGGATCTCTGTCCAAAAGCTTAATCCAGCTTGTTTGGCCAGCACATCTGAACAGTGGGAAGGGGGAGGCCCCTCTTCTAGAGGTTCTTGTTCCTCCCCAAACTTCCACTGCCATACTTTCCTGAAGATTTACCCCACTGAAAGAGCCCATCAAAGAAGGCATATAGAAGCTCCTTCCTTACCTTCTACAGAATCATTTGTCCAGAACATCCCTTTCCTGATGGGGAAGAGGACATACTGGGACCACAGCTTTGACTAGATCTGGAGACCCTGAATTCATTTTAAAATAACTCTCCCAAATCAGTAGGAAATCCTCTCATGGATCTCCTACATCAAATGTAGTTTGGTTTTAGAATCCAGTAGTAATTGGTTTTGAACTAGTGATAATTTAAAGACAAAATTGGCTGTGCAAGAATCACTTGTCTTTGTAAAGGAACATGGGCTCATTTAAGAATTTCTTTATCTAAAGTTAAGCTCCGTACAAACAATTTTAACAATATTTTAAATATTATTTCAGTGGTTTTGAATCAGGGAGAGAGGCAATAGTAGTATTATTTAGAAGTATATTACATCCTCTTTTCTTTTGATCGAGACCCTTCTTGCATGCAACTGCATGATACCCACATACTTATCTTTTCAGTCCTGGGCTAAGGACTTCCTCTTCCTCTAAGCATTTTAGATTTTAACAGATTAGGTTTGGGATTTTAACTATAGAATCCACCTGGGAAACTCTTGCAGTTGAATGGGTTAAAATATAACAATATAAATTTGCAGCTAACTATATAAATACGTAGCTCTACCTGTATAAGTAAACAATTACAGCTACCCATTTGAACAAAGTTGAAGCACCTGAGAATAATGACTGGGAAATCACAAACCAAGGTTGTAGTCAGTCAAGATGAGAAATGAAGAATTCTGGCCAATTGCCAGAATAGGGAACCCATTTTTCCCTCTTTTAACTTGTTATACGCTTCTTACACACTCTTCTCATTTACCACACACTTTGTGCTTTGACAGTTACTACATTGTAACTTTTGCCCACAAAGCATATGAATTCATACTTGGAAAATACTACAATTCTTTCCTCAGATAGCATACCTACTGATGTGATAACAGATATGCTATGTGGAATGTGGTTGTGTGAGTCTCACAGAAACCTATTGGATATTTCCTCTGATGCAACTGATAAAGAGTGGCCCCTTCTTTCTCTATGCATGGACCATTTTGCAAATTTTCTATCAATAGCTTAATATTTTGCTTTGATGTTGGCATCATTATGCTTTGTATAGCCCCAGTCTCTCCCTCCCTCCCGTCTGTCTGTCTTTATTTGAATTTATTAGCTGCCCAACTCCAATGGACTCTGGGCAGTGTACAAAACTAGAAAAAACATAAACACAGATAAAAACATCCAATCAGACAGCCCAGACTAAAAAATAATCTTATAAAAATAATCATATAAACCAAACCAAACCAAACAGGGGTCCTAGACAAATAATATAACATCAACCCCAGGCCTGGGACCAAAGCCAGGTTTTCACAGCACAAGAATCTTTCTCTTCCATGTGAGTCTGTTAACACGCGCACACACTGAGGACAGTGGAAGAATTCCCTCCTGCTATTCTGCACTATATGCTCCCAGTAGCCAGCTGAATTGGTCGCTTATCGAGGCCTAAGCCATTAGCATACTTTTCCTGCACACCCCATCACTGGGCAGTGGGTGACAGAGCTGGTGAATCCTGACTGCATTGTCTATCCCCAGCAGATCTTGGCTGTATTAGGAAGGTGCTCTCATTATAATCTAATCCAACGTGCATGCTGTTATTATCATCATTTGGAAGACTTTTCAGCTGTAATATTTAGCATTGATTTACAAACAGGCAGAGAAGAGCAAATTCATCTTGGAAATTTCTCTGTCTGTTCTCTCACTGCTTTCAAAGAGCTTGTTCATTTGTTTTTTACAGCCATAATGTGCATAATGCTTCTTATAGCAGAATGTTTTGCACCTGTTGTTTCTTTGGCTCCATAAACTGATTTCATACATGCTTGGTACTTCTTGTGCACTGTAGGGTTGCCATGGGCGAGGCATCCTCATTCTTGTATCTCTCTTTTCATCTCTGTCCTGAAATTCTACTTGTGCCAAAATTCTTAATGCAGCATTTTCCTTTAGGAGCCTAGTTGTCCCTCCATGTTAAGAACGTGCCTGGCTCAGCAGAACTGTTAGTTTATGAACGTTGTTTGACGACTGTGCAACCCAATTGCCAAATCTTATTATTCATGAATTTATCTCATTGCTTGACAGACATGATAGCTCTGAGGTGTCACCAATGAAGCTTCTAAAGTTCTTGGATACACAAGCAAAAACTCTTCTCAGTTTCGCAGTATCCAGGATCTTCCTCCTTTTACATCTGCTACCATAATCTGTCTTTCAACTTGGCTGTCTCTTTTCCACCCATTCTCAGTTGACATGCAATGGAAAGTATGTATGTACCCTAAGTATGTTGGCCATGCAGCTGGATTACTGACAGTTTTCTCCTACACAACCCAATGATTGGCTCCACTGACACTCAAAGGCTTGGTTCCCAGATTATACTAAGACATAATGGGGAGGGGGATGTTTTGGTTTGTTTAATGTGATGTATAAATGCAGTCAATGTGGCTTATTTTAAAAATTGTGGTTGGAAGAAACCAGGGCTTACTACAGCATGGGAACTCAGCCAAATAATCATTGCCAGGCAGGCACTGATCCTGAACACACAGCAGAATCAGTATGGCTGGGAAACCTGATACTGTACTGAGAAGCATGTAGTGTACTTTCTGCTTAGGATGTCTGCTTGAATCTATCATGTCAATTCTGGGCACCAGCCTTAAGAACCTTTTTTGCCCCAGTGCACTGTCAGCCAGTGTTGGCTGGAGCAGAAGCTAGGGTGAAGAAAAGGAATCCAGCACATCTGCTAGCCTGAACACCCCATCAGTAGACGGATCATTTCAGTATCTTACCTCCCTCTTCCCCTTTTCAACCTCTACCTGCATGTGCTGCCTAGTTGCTTGATCTTCCCAGCCTCCCACCCTCAACTCTGCTGCTCAACCCAACCATCCACCAATCCTCCTGTTGCTTTTCCTCCTTCCCTTCCCAGGAATTCAAACAAATGTGTTCATATCCCTCAGGTCCACTCAATTTTTCTAATATCTTCCCTCCTTTACCTGAGCTGAAACATGAAGTGTGTGTACCAGCATGCCTACTTTTTAGGGCAGTTTTTCTCAAACTTGGCAACTTTAAGATGTCGGACTTCAGCTCCCAGAATTGGACAACTAACACTTTGGATGCTTTTTCTTATGAGGTCCCTAAACCCCTAGATACTTCACTGTCAAATTATAGCAACAAACCTTTGAGCATTAGTAGCATTATTTCCTGACCTTTTTCACTAGATTAATAAAATAAACAAAATATTCGATAAGCCTTTTATTAGGCTTGGCACACCCAAGAAATTTAGGAGCTCCCTACCTCCCCCACATGGAATACATAGAAATACAGGCCTTCCTTACTCATTTCATGCAATCGCAGTACTATGTCCCATTTGACTGTGTCCCTCAAATAACAACAGCAGCAGCAACAAAAGCATGTGCCCCTGGCTATCAAAACCTTGCCACCCCAGTTTTAATCACTATTCTCCACTTAAAAGCTTCATTATCTGTATAAGTTCACTTTACCTGAGAATCAGTGTAATTTGTATGTTTTAAACAAAGCGCCTTGAGTTATTTGTTTCTGAGACTTATCCAACTGATATGATTGCTTGGTCTCCTTTACAAAGTTGACATGAGAATTTACTTTGGTAATAGCAGCCGGAACAAATGTTTCCCACACTGTCAAGTAAATATACATCCTGTTTCATGCAAAGTTGTGCCCCCAGCTGGGGCATTTTCATCACTTCCATAAACACTACCTATGGGAAATTCTAACCATGCTGAAACAGAGTCAGCTAGAAATGAACTAGAAGGAAGTAAGGCACCAATTTTCTTCCTGTAACTAACATAACAACAACACATTTGAACTGTCATAGAGGCAAAGTAGTTTCCTACCCAAAGATGCAGTTTCATCTGAATTCAAGGATATAGCTTCATGAGCTGGCTGTTCATAGAGGAGGAACTGGTAGCGGTGGTAACCACTTTCAGATGGTGGTGTTGGTCGGTGGTAGTCTGGATACCAGAAATAAAAATAAAATAAAATGTTGGTTTGTGGATACGTGTGTGCTGGTATTTATTTACTTATTTATTTATCCAATTTATATAGCTGCCCAAGTGACTCTGAGCGGGTGAACAACAAACACTTATCTAAGATTGAGATACAGCCACTTTATAAAAGGAATCAGCCTATTGTTCTTTCTTCATGGCCATCTTATTTGTTGAATTTACGTATGCCAGTCCTCTTTTACTTGCAGTTTTCCTGAGACTTTTTTTTCTACTTCTCATAGGGATTTTTTCTTTTTAATAGTTCTATGGTTCTCAGTTTGTTTATGTTTGTACACTACACCAGAGTTAGGAGTAGAATTCTTTATTTTCTTCAGCTGTGAACCCTATTTGGAGAGATATTATTAAGCATTGTTAATGAGTATAATCATGGAAGCAAATGAGGATTGATGGTATAGATTTCAATCTTTCTTTAGAGCACCTGGTGTGTATGTACAAACTCTGAACACGTTGCCACCCTTTGTCTCTGTCTGGCTGTTTTCCATCAAGTTGCAAGCATGCTCTTGTCTTTTCTTCATTGGAAGAAAACTCCCTTTAACCTCACCTGGTTTTCCCAGCAACTCAAGCTTAGATTAGGTCCTTTTCTTTCCAAATCCCACCTCTTATTACCTCTCTTAACCCATCTTCCAAATGGAGGACACCCAAGCCCCAAAGCACTACCTAATTTTAGACTCATTCCAGTTTGTCTGCCTCTCATTATCGTGTTCACAAACATTAATTTAAATAAAATAACTCACAATATGTGATTCTGTGTGCTAACATAGGATTAAAAACCAAACAAGATAAATAATAAATATAAAACATACAACACAATATAAAACAGTACAAACCAAGGCTAAAAACATAACGTATTCTAAATTATAAGCCAATTTTCCAGAAGGATTCATTCAATGTCCTAACCCAGTATACAGGGGAAAAAACAAGTTTTTAAAACCTTAAGGAAGGCCAACAGGGTTGGGCCACCAGAATCTTGGGGGCTGGGGGTAGAGGAGGGGTGGGATATGCTTTTTCAAAGGGCAGGAACCACAATAGAGAAGGCATGTTTTTTGGATCCCATTGATGGCATTGTTTCAAAGAGAGGACTTGGAGCATCACCCTAACGGATCTTGTGGGCTGGGCAGACATAATTGGAGATAGGTGGACACACAAATAACACAGCCCTAGCCATGAAAGGTTTTATAGGTAATAACCATTGTCTTGAATTGCAACTGGAAGCCTATAAGAAGCCAGTGCAGCTCACAAGTAGTAGTGTTACATGGGCATACCTGCAACACTGCATTATAGACCAACTGTAGCTTCTGGATGGTCTTCAAGGCAGCCCCATGTAGAACACATTGCAAGAGTCTAAGCAGGAGATGGCCAAAGCATGAATTACTGTCAGCAGGGCCTCCTGATCTAGGAACAGGAGCAATTGGAACACAAGATAGAGTAGTGTAAAGGCCCTCTTGGCCATATTGGTCACCTGTTCTTCAAGTAGGAGTTGTGAGTCCAAAAGGACTCCCCAGATGGACACCAGTTTCATCTGTAGGAGTGCAACTTCATTTAGAGCTAAAGATGGAAAGACTCCAGATTTGGAGGTGAGACTGTTTTAAAACCATGACCATTCAATCTTGCTTCGGTTGAGTTGAAGCTTGTCTTTCTCCATCTGGACCCTTACCCACCCCCAGCTTCCAAATACTGGGAAAAAACCTCAATGGCATCACTTGGTCAGTGCAGGGTTGAGAGGCAAACTTGTGTGTCATCAGCAAATTGATGGTATTTAAACCTGGGCCAATGTATAACCTCACCCAGCAGTTTCAAGTAGAGTTCAAAAGGAGTAGAGAAACAGTAAAGTCCTGAGGAACCTCACAAAATGGAGGTCTATGGTTAGATCTCTCACCCCTATAAATACTGACTGGAACTGGCCCCAGAAGAAGGAGAATCTTCATAACACTATACCCCTCACATTACACCCCTGAACCTGGTCCAGAAGTATATTATATCATGATCAATGGTATGACTATTTCTGACTGTTGATTTTGTATTTTTAATTTGTTATTGTTCTTATTGGTTTTTTTAAATGTTGAAAGTGTGTATATAATTGTGGAGGTGGGGGTATAAATGTGATATATAAATAAAGGAATAAAGGATAATATAACAGGGATTTCCTTAGTTATTTTGGAATTATGCTCAAACTGCAGAATTCCAGGCAGGTCTTTGATGCGTAAACTGGTTTGGCTGCTGACCTGTGTAAGTGCAATCCTGTATTTTAATGATACTTCATTTTTTTGTTTGATTTTTATTTTACTCTTGTTAGCCACCTTAAGTTTCTTGGGAAAAAATGTTAGTTCATGTTCATGTTAATTTCTCTTCTCTGGGTAATATAATCTGGTTTAATTAATTAACCAAATTTTCTAAATTTGGACAATATACACAATTTTCAGCTAATCATATGGGCCAAGTTTGCATTTCATCCTAAGTTAAAATGTGGTTACTAATTTGTGCATGTTATATGAACTCACTACCTTGTTTTTGATGCAGCCTATTATGTGAACCTAGATAATCAGGTTAATTACTTTAACCATCGATAAAATGTCATGCAAACATATCATTGCAGCAAGAGAGTAGCTTTGTACTGTACAGTACATTAACATATGGTTAAACAAATAATGGTTTATTGAATTAACCACACTGGCTGGATTCATATAACACAATGAACCATACATACTTTGGGGATCCCTAAAATACAAACTAGTTAAATTTTAGCCTGTGAACCCAGCTAGAATCTTTTTTAACTATATTTTTATAATTAAATTCTATAAATTCCTAACATTTACAGACTCATAAGATAAAAGGAAACATTCTAAACAGCTTATATAAATTAAGAAAGATAAAACTAAAATAAGATATAAATGCAGATACTAGAATACTAGAGAAAATAAAACTAAAAAGCTAAATTGCTAAACTGCTAAGTTTATAAGATACTCAAATATAGGATATGGAAATATTAAGCTACTAAGCTACTGATATGCTTAAATAATATATTAATTGGAGGGTTTTTATTATAGATAAGTTGGTCTTGGTTTTGCCAGAAGGCCTGGGGACCCCAGGGGACGGGTGGTAATCTAGTGAGGTGACTACATTATTTTTAACATCCCATCGTCTATTATCTTCTGTTTTTTATATTTTTTAATATAGTTTTTTAGTATTTACTGATTTGAAAAAAGTGAGAGGGGCGGCTAATAAATTGTGGAAATAAAATAAATAAAAATAAATCTTAAAACTACTCCACTAACAAATTAGAATAAAAATAATCAAGTTAGTATCTTTGAATAAGATAACAAATCACCTCAGGAAGAACAGAAAAAGATATTTTAAATATTTTTAGAAGTGTTTTTAGCGTTTATTATTTTATTTACATTTTTATCCCATTTTTTTTCCAACTTCTTATAACGCCCCTATACAGTACATTAAGCTGGGAGAGAGTGATTGGCCTAAACATGGTGAGCTCATGGCTGGGTGGATATTGGAAACTGGCTGTCCTAGGTCTTAGTCTAAGGCTGTAACTGACAAAAGCTGAAGTCACAATGCTACCATCGTGTTTGAGTTTAGGACAGCAACTGGTTGCTGCAGGGTTTATAAAACCACTATTTTCTGTTTTTGCAGAACTGGCAAACTGTACAATAGCTTCCCTCTGATATCATGCATTTGACCATGGCAGGGCTTAAAACATATATTCCTGCCTGACAAGATGTTAGTTACAAAGCAGGAATCCTTCATGTTCCAACTTCAATCATCTCTAAAATTCTAGCTAGGTTAGCTTCCATATGCTCTATCAATTGCATAGGTTGTCATAAGAACCAGCAAGAGGAAACTATACTTAATTTCTGAAGAGCTCAGATGTAAATGAAAGCAGGGTATTACTTGCTGTCAATCTTTAACACATCACTAGTGGGTTGATGGCTCCCCTCCCTCTGTGTTGTGAAAAAGAATCAAATATCAAGCAGAGCTATTATGTATGCAGATGCTCCTTAATGGTTTAAAACCCCAATCTTAGCTCAAAGGGCATTTCAGATTGGATTCAAGAAGACAAGATGATGTAAAGAGATTGAAGAGATAAAATTCCTCACAGCCTAATCAAAGAAGGGAGGGGGTACTCTTTCTTCTTGAATGTGAATATCCCAAATTCACTTCCTGATGCACTTTTTTCACTTCAGAATTTTATGAGCAATAAGCTTAGGTTCGTTCTTATTATCGCCTAGTCCTGCAAATCCACCAGTTGATGTACAGTCCTGCAAGTGGCCCCAGTCTCTGGGGCCATTAAAAATGGAATTTTAAAAACATGTTTTGGGCACTCCCACAAAATGGATGACACGATGGATATGGCCTATCACATAATACTCATATACCAGAAAACAAAGCACCAGGCTACAGCCAGTTCATCTTATTTTCTAAGAATGTATCTGGGACCTACATGGGGCCCAGAGGTATTGTTGGAGATTCAGGTTATGCTATCTCGCATTGCAGTATGCTAGTTTCTCATTTATTTTTAACAACAAAAAAGAAACAGAATAAGGTAGGGCAGGAGGCATTAGGCATCAAAGAGTGTGTTGATAGATGAACTGTTGCCTTAGGCATTGTGTTGAGGACCCCAAGTATACAATATGCCTACTGTATAGAAACCCCCTTTCTGTTTTTCATCATAAAATGTTTCAACTTAGAGAAAACAGTCTTTGGGAAGTTGAGTTGGATGTGAAAGATTACAATGGGGTAGGAGTGGAAAATACTTTGCTTTTTCTGTAATAGAAAACTTTACCTATTGCATATTAATGCCTCTTCATTTTTTTCTGTATAAGATAAAGAATAAGTCACTATCTGCTGTCCAGCTTGAGTGTGAAATGATTCAGCTGATTTGCTGGTCCCATGTGGAAATTTCCTGAACTTTCTGAGCCTGCAACCACAGGAATCCTTGCTGTTATTATCTTCCTCCTCTGGAAAGCATGGAACTGAGAACTGGGTCACCTAGGGCTTATCCACATTATGCTGCACTAGACATTTCAAAGCTATTCTCCCTGCCATCTTTCAGAGAACACTAGGTGCACTATATTGGCTCTCTGTTTATTGGGGTTTCATTTTTATAAGGAGGTCAATGGTATGTATGTAATAGTGTTCTTGAGAGCTAATGCAGAGCTTTTTAAAAATGAATTTTAAAACATTAGAGCAAAATCTTACAGAATTTTGTTATGCTACCTTGACATATTTGTTAAAATTCAACACCCCTGCTTGTTTGAACAAGCTCAGAATCTATTGCTATTACTTTATAAAGTGCCATGAGCAAATCTGGCAGCTCACAGAATTGCATAGGCAAGACAAGTTCACAAAATACAGTGCAAGCTTTCAAAGTCTCCTGAATTTTTTATTGGACAAGATGGAAAATGTTTTAAAAATGGGGGTGGGGGGAGGGAAGAAAAAAAATCTGATGTTTAAGCTTTGAATCTGCATTTAGTTACTGTACAGTCTTGATCGAATACAGGAGTAGGCTGCAGCCCTTCGAATTAGATGTTGAGCTGAATTGCACTTAAGATTCACTTAATGACTGCTGGCATGAACAAGGAAATAAACTATGACCGCACCTCTAACCATTTCTGTAAATATATAAAATCCAGTTGTTTTACACAGACCAATCTCCATGGTTAAGCAAAATGCACAAGGTCCTTGCTAGGTGGAAAAACCAGGCAGTTTTGACATTATGAAAGCAAGATATACATTTAGATGGTGCGCTATATTCAAGCAAGTTAGGGCCAACATGCCAACCATGGCCGCTTGAGTTCTTTCCAGCCCCTTTATCAGCAGTGGCCCTAGGAGGTATAGAATCTGTATTTTATTCTGTAATGTATTGCATCTATGGCTAAACTGAGATTATCTTTTGATGACAGTAGTGGTTTTAATTTTACTTCAGAAAGTTTTCAAAAGTATCACTGGACTTCCATCTTATTAGCTATATTTATGTGGAATGAAAATGTAGTACACTACCAACCCTTGTGGGCCTCATTAGAAAGCTATTACTTATGTCCACTAAGATCTTGGCAATTACTTGGGTCAATATATAATAAAAAGACCTTTCATTTCTGCCATTCAGCAACTAGACATGTTTAGATCCTTTTGGGTTGTAGACTGGATTTTGATATTGAGGCTCATTAATGTTTATGGGAGAATTCTACTTTAAAAACAGGTGGCAAGCATGGGCAGAATCTGAAACAGTTACTTTAAATCAATTATTTTATAATGGTTATTTTAAAGATTTTTCTCAATTTCTGATAGTGGCAATATATTTAACTGAAGCATGCCTTGATAGCTCAATATGGACCAAATGCTTTAGCTTCTTCAAAGAAACCTGAGATCCTTTCTTTTCTGATAAAGTTCATGTTTGTATCAAAAATTAAAAAAAATAGTTGTAAAGTTGAAAACACTGACATTTATGAAGTATGGAATAAAGAATTGGAGTGTCCAATAATGAAACATCAGTGGTTGCAAGTGTTAAAGAAGGTTAAATTGGTCTCATTGGATTTAAAATTGAAATTGATTCATAAAAAGTATTTATTGGATGCCCCAAAGAATGTATTTGAAAGAATGGATGTAAGATTTTCTCTGTTGGCAATGTAAAAAAAATTGAGGAGTCATTAAATCATATGATTGGTCTTGTGAGTTTTGGGCATCTTTTTGGAACTATATATTTTACCTGTATCATGGGGAAATCTCTTAATGTTAAAGATATTACGTTCCCAAAAACTGGAATTTAAACATTTTTTATGAACGTTGGTTATATCGGGTGCGAGGAATTACTAAGAGAATTATTTTGAGAAATTGGAAAAGCTTCTATATTAAGGATTACATTTGAGACATGTGTGATCTATCTATTTTTGAAAAGGCAATTGTTTCTACTAATCAATACATTTACAATTTGCACAGATTTTATGATAGTTTACAACAATAACATTTCTTCTTTTTAATTTGAAATTTTCATATATTGTTTACTACGTGACATACAGGTGATATACCTAGGTTGCTAGCATCTTTTCTTTTTCTATTTTGCTTATTATTGTTATTATGTTCTTTTGTTTTTTACTTTTGTGTATAGTTTGTAGTTCTTTTTGGTATTGTTGTGTATTTAAAGAAACCTGTAATATTTTTTTTTAAATGTATCTGTTTTTGCTCTCACCTCATGTTGCATCTCTTGCATTTATGTATATATATGCAGTGAGAAGCAGGTGACAGCTGCATAAACTCTACTCTGAGTCACATGACCAAGGAGGAGGATGGAGTTGGCTTAGAATGGAGCAGATGGCCACATTCTGAACCGCTACTCAACTGCCTCTCTAAAAGGAGGCACTGGGATATTTTGAGGGAGTGGGGGTAGCATTATCCCCACAGCCCCTGGACATTTTTAAACTTGATCTTTCTTTTGCTGACATACAAACAGCATCCTAAGCTTCTTTTATGTCATGTATTTCCAACATTCTGTTGTATTGGAGAGAATAAAAAGCAAATAGAAATCAAACTGGGTTCTTTACCTAGTAGCAGAAGGTCCCACTACATAGTAAAGATATTGGCCTAATATGGAGTTAGATGTCTACCTGACTGAATTTTTGAAAGCAAAACAAATTCCTAAGGAGTTTATAATGTAAGATAAATAAGGGAGTAACAGACAGAAAAGTATAATGAAGGGAAAATTTGGATAAATGCTGTTATTCATATTTGAAGTGTTTCTTTAAGTGTTTCTTTAATTTACTGTTTGAAATGTTGAAATTTATTGTTGAAAATGAGGATAGACATTGGCTATATAGATTAAATGGGTTTTGTTGGAAAATGACCGTGGGTAACTTCCAGGTTAGTTTGCATCCAGCACATTCCCAGTCCAGCTACATTCAGAACAGAGCAAGCACACACACCACTCAGTACAGATAGCAAAAATAGAGCTCAGTGTTTATTTGTCAAACATAAAAACGGGGTTCGCCCATCTCTTCCTGCCTGCAGCCATTTTTTCCTATGGGAACAGCTCCGATGATCATACCTACTTTGTCCCTGTTGGAGAAGAAGCTTTTGGGACATCACAAATCCTTTTGGAGATAAGAACTGCTCCTTTTTCTATAGGAGATGCTCTTTCATGAAATCAATTGAAAGGGGTAGAATTTGGGAATGGCTTTTGTGCTGGTCATTTCACACCTCAGTATGAACTTCAGCTAGGTTGCACAAGAGACTAAAATAATTTGCAGCAGCATCACAATTACCTGATGCTTTTTTAAAAATGGTTCATGTGTGTGTGTGTGTGTGGGGGGGGGAAATTAGGTGCTTTGGGATTATCTTCATTCCCATATAAACCCATGAATTCTTACAATTTCCCTGTTTCTTAATGCACAAAAAAATCTAGCTATTGAATGACAGTGGCCAATCAGATTCATCTTGCTGCGCTTAGAATGGACGTGGCTTTGACTGACTTGGAGGCAATCAAGATCACAAAATCACAAATATGAAAAGGAATCCATATCTCCTACACAAATGTAGAAGCCTCTTTAACAGAGACCTACTAATACACAGAAGTTCTTGGGAAGTATTGAGTGCATCCAGCTTCTGCTTACCTGCTAATACATGACCTTGCAGATTCCCAGCCTTCAGATCAGCACCCTGAAAAGAGATAAATTATATAAATTGGAACAAGACCCTTTACAGTATTTCATAAATGTACGTATTGTCTAGGCTTTGTTTAGAAGAATGTGAATAGGCAGGCAGAGAAAGGAAACAGGGTTGGGATTGTCTATGGTTACCTGAAACAAACCATTTACTGACAGCAAATTTACATCTGAGCCAAAGTCCTGATCTCCTGACACACTAAAAGTAAAACCATTAAAATTAGTAATCTTGATTCTTCCAATGAAACTTATTCTATGTACTATCAATAAATTTAGCACTCTTGGACAGCACCAGGACAACTGTATATGAAAGTGTAGACATGAAGAAATATAATGACTGCAATGTAGTCTCAATATTACTAATTAAAGGTTTGGACTGGGATTGGAGAAACTCAGGATGAAGGGCTTCCGTTGAGTATGAGTCCAATGTACTTCATAGATAGTTCTTGTGTGGATAAAATTATGGGTACCTCTACCCTTACGCACCATTTTGAACTCTCAGAAACAAAGCAGGATTGATATGAAATAAATTAATTATCTCCCCACTCCTAGCTGTGGCCAACAAGGACCGTTCAACTATAGAACAGCAGCCTTATTTCCTTCTTCTCAACTTAAGTACAATTTGTTACAAATTCCCATTCTAAGAGATGAAATCTCCTTTTCAATTTCCTTGTTAGGGAAAAAAAAAGATTTTGTTTGATTGTAGCAAGTGAAGTTTCCCCAAGTTTGCTTTATTTGCTTTTTTCTAAAATCTGCCTGACACTTTGTTTTGTGTCTAATCAATATGGTAAAGACGGGGAGGGGAAATCTGCTGGTGGGAGCTATAGTTTGCTTACTAATTTATATTTAAAGTGTCATTGCTTTACAGATGGCAGCACAGCACCCTGTAGAATTCTACTGAATCATAGGCTGTGCCGTTACCATGTCATAGAGGGAGCGACAGACTGATAGCACCGGACCTGTTCTCTGGGTTCCAGGTTGCTAGGACGGCTGCAAATGTTTTCCTTCCAACCTGTGAGCCCATTGTGTGCCCAGGAATTCAGGCAGCAGTTAATTATTGTCTTTGCAATGCAAAAAGGTCACTGTGGTTTCAAAAAACAAGCTGGTACACCAGACAGGAGGTAAAGTATGAGGAAAGAAAAGGGAAGTAAGTAAGGACAATGCACATATTTCTCAGCTATATCCGTATGAGGTATTCATCAAAAACATATCAGCGCTGTCAAAGACCATTTAGGCATTTCATACATGATGCTGTAAAGTGCATTTAATTTTTTTCTCATGCTTTTTTCTGTTACATGTGAATGCCTTTAATGCAGGAAATATTTTAAAAGCTATCAAATGGACTATAAAACTGAACTAGTCTTGATTTGAATAGAAGTCAATTTAACTGTAAAAAAACACTTTACAAATCTGATTCCAGAATTATAGACTTAAATTTAATCATAGTTAAAACAGTGAGATGTATTTGATTTAAATGTTTTGAAAATAAATGATATTGTAATCAAGAGAATAGTTTATAGTACAAGAATCCAGGGTGGCATAAAATCATCATATGAAACATTTACACACAAACAGGTAGGAACAATGAAATATCACCAATTCATTATTGTATTATCATTAATCCTGTTAGAACAGAGCAGGAATGACTAATGAGAGGATGTAGACTCATCCTGGCCTTCTGGAGGGCTGCAGAAGGCTATCTAGTGATGCTTTGAAAGGGCAGGAGTGACTTTTTAAAGCCAATTTTAAAGTTTTGGAGAGGGGATTAAAATAGGAATGGGGTCCAGAAGCCTCTGGGTGGTAAGCTGATCCCATGCCAACCTTACCAACTTCCTAATTTTCTCAACATAGCCTGAAATCATGCCATCAAAATTCAGCCAACTTGCTGCCAAATTTCAGAGGCATATCTGAGAAGTGTACATGACCTTATCATTTTTATAAAGGAAAACAAGCAAGTATAGTGTGACACAGATGATGAATTGCACACACACGCACACACTATGTATATACTCAGCTCAGTTACGGTCCCAAACAGAATGGTTAAACATAGGGTGATTTCATTTATTACCCTGATTCCCACTGATTGTTCATTCAGTAAAATTATTCTCAATTCCGGGCCAAATAAACAACTTCTCCTCCTCCTCCTCCTGTTAAAATGAATCTAATTCCAATTCCAATTCCCTCACACATGTTCTTGTAGGATGGTTCATATGCTTCCAAGCAGGTGTTTATTATATGAACACTTTTGGCTGTTATGCTGCAACAGTTTTGTTGCAGAACTACCCCTCAGCCTAATCATATATTAGTTGTAAGGATAAAAATGATGGTGAGAGAGAACCATGTACATTGGTTGAATGCCTACAGAAAAGGCAGAACATAAAAATATAAAATCCAATGATAATTTAATAAGACAATACAGTCATAGAGATTTATATCATCTACTTCTAGCAGAAGAATAAAATCATAAAATCGGAAGGGCCACCAAATCCAACATGCCTGTTCAGTGATGTTATCAAATTAAACCATCCACAATAGATGGTTGTCCAGCTTCTGCTTGTACACATCTGATAAAGGGAACCCTGCCGCCTCACTTGATAGTTGGTTCTATTGGTATGATAAGGGATATTTAAGTAACTTACTACAGTATGCATCTTGATATTCACTTTCTGACTGAAAGCCTGTGGTCACTTTGAATTCAATATGAGTGCAAAGCATATCCCATTAATATCCAGTGGCAAATTCCCAGTTGACTTTAGCAGTTATGGATTATTTGTTAAGTGATAGTGCATTCCTATGTAAGACTAGAAATACCTTAAGCACTTAAATCTTTATTGCATTCTCAGAGGATTGTCAATGCTTTTTCAGTTCTGCATAAGGATGCTGTCTAAAGATCTTATGCTAGCCCAAAGCTTTGTAATACTGTTCACAGCAGTTTACAATGAGCTGGATGTAATTTTTTTAAGATGAGATATTTTATCTTTGCATTTTATCTTAATTACACAATTTTAGCAATCATCAAAATTCCTTCTGCATGAATTGCCATATGCGCCACAAGTTTGTGGGTGAATGTTAGGTCTACTGTTTTGGTTCACTCTGCAAGCAAGGGGTTCCATGTATTAGTATCAAGGCACTGGAAAGTTTGGGGCACTATGCTTTACCTAGGTATGCTGATGGCAGTGCCAGCCTTGACCTCTTTTCTCCTTTGTAAAGGTATATGTTTCTGACATTATTTGGAATGGGGAAGAAACCTGATAAAACTGATTGCAAGTCAGCTTAGCAAATACACACACCAGAAGTGATTTGTAAATTATTTATCTCCTCCTGATGGGCTGAATAATTATGAAATAAAGATATGGCAGAAAGTGCTACAGCAGGATTAGCAATATTAAAGAACAAGGAGTTCATATGACCTATAATATGATATGATATGATATGATATGATATGGAATTTGTTGTACTAAATGCACCTGTTCTGTGTAACTTCCTGCCACACCTATTGCTATTGTACATTCTTCCCTCCCATCCAGCTCGGATAAAGCATATCAGCTCTGATTTGCAACATCCCTTATTAATTCAGTAGTGTCAACACACATCATTTCTACCAATAACATTCAAGTCTAACTTGATCCAGTAAGTTGTCATTAGATATAGCACATTGATAATTACTTTAGATAACTAACTTATTTTTTTCAAAATATACTGAATAAAAAAGAAAGTAATATGAATTATGGATTTTGAATTTTGTCTCATAAAAAGTACTCACTTTTTAGGCATCGTTCCAATGCTTTTAATATTTTCACAATAGCAATTAAACAGGAAAAGCCCATTACCAAATCTCAACACCTAAAAAAGTTTTAATTCATTTCTGCCTGTCACAACGTTGCATTCCATGTTGGCATCTAGCTTTGCAAAAATATGGCATCTAGGATATCAAAACTACTAGTTATCAATCTGATGGTGGATTTTATGAAGAGAATAGCAATCAAGCAAAACAAAACCAAAATGATTGGCAAAATAGATGTTTTTTAATTTATTTTAAATAATATAATATAAATTTTGAATACATAAATAAATAAAAAATAAAATAAATGTCTCTATCTTACTATGCTTTTTTCATATATAGAATTATGATGATAATATGTTTCTGATTCATACCTGCTATGGGATTAAATCAGGACTGTGGGCAACAAGGACATATCTTTACAGTGTGCATAAAAATAAAAAAATCCTGGCATTCTTGTGATATCAGTCTCCATTTCCCAAGAAGCCCAGAACTTTTGCAGAGAGAAGCTTGGTACTGGTGCACAGTGGGAGTCTTGTTGCTTGCCCAAACCTCACCATATGCAACATGTTAGACAATATAATCATTTGTCTACTACGTGCAGAGCAGCCTTTTGCAACCTGGGGCCCTCCAAACGTTGTCGTGACTACAGCTCCCCAAATCACCAGTCAATAGAGTCTAAGGTAGGCCCAGCACAACCAGCTAACCTGGAATAGCATAGCTCTAGTTAAACAATATATTTACCTCTCTGTTGTTCTTATAATCTGGATCTAGATGACTTGGGAAGTAATACTGCAAATCAATTTTGCAAGCTTACCACCTTATATAATAAGAAGGAGATTGATGTGTGATGCAGCAGCACATTTTAAATACTACCAAAGACTGAGCGAATATGGCTGCTTCATGTTAGCAATAGTTTTGTTTTGCTTTGCAAATGAGCATTTGATGCTCAATAGTATTGAATTATTCTGAGGGCTGCATTTTAACCTCTCATACCAATACCTTTCTGATTCTGAAAATTGTGACATATTTAACTAGACTCTCCTGAAATCTCAAGGGCCAGAATAAAAGGCGTGATGCTCTCAAAGCTGTCTTTTTTGCAGTGGGGTGTGCTCCTGTTCAATTAAGCGTACCATCTGGGCTACATAAATCCAGACCACCACTAGATGAGAGCCAAGGGCTAGAAAGACACTTTGCTGCCATCTCACGGTCATCTTCTTC